TCTCCAATTAGACTCACAGCAGACTTCTCATCAGAAACCCTACAAGCTAGGCGGGAATGGCAAGACATAGCCCAGGTACTAAGAGAGAAAAAACTGCCAGCCCAGAATATTATATCCTGCAAAGCTCTCATTTGTGAATGAAGGTGAAATAAAGACCTTTCATAGCAAACAGAAATTGAAAGAATTTGTCGCCACTCGTCTGGCCCTGCAAAAGATGCTTAAAGATGTGTTACACACAGAAACGCAGAAACACAATCATCAATATGAAAGAAGGTAAAGGAAGGAAACCTCGCAGCAAAAGCAATTCACAATAGCTAAGACCTGGAACCAACCCAAATGCCCATCAACAGTAGACTGGATAAAGAAATTATGGGACATGTACTCTATAGAATACTATACAGCAGTCAAAAAAATGAAATCTGGTCATTTGCAACAAGATGAAGGAATCTGGAAAACATTATGCTGAGTGAATTAAGCCAGTCCCAAAGGGACAAATATCATATGTTCTCCCTGATCGGCGGCAACTAACTGAGCACCAAAGGGGAAACTTGTTGAAGTGAAATGGACACTATGAGAAATAGTGACTTGATCAGCCCTTGTCTTGACTGTTGATGTACAATGTAATATTTTGTTCCTTTTAGTATTTTTTCTTTGTTTAGTTCTAGTACTATTGGTTGAACTCTGTAATTAACATACAATTATTCTTAGGTGTTTAAATTTTAACTGAAAAGTGATCCCTGTTAAATATAACAGTGGGAATAAGAGAGGGAGGAGATACACAATTTGGGACATGCTCAATCGGACTTGCCCCAAATGGTGGAGTTAGAAACGTGCCAGGGGATTCCAATACAATCACATGAAGGTGGCATGTACCAATGCCATCTCACTAGTCCAAGTGATCAATTTCAGTTCACAATTGAACACACTGAGAAGTCTAAGAGTCAAAGGGATCACACAAACAAGACTAGTGTCTGCTAATACTGACTGATAGAATCAAAAAGGGAGAGAACGATCCATCATGGGAAGCGGCATACACAGCAGACTCATAGAATGACAGATGTCCTAAACAGCACTCTGGTCTCAGAATCAGCCCTTAAGGCATTCGGATCTGGCTGAAGAGCCCATGAGAGTATTTTAGGCATGGAAAGCCAAGACACCCTGGGAAAAAAAAAAAAGATGACGACCTAAATGTAAGATCTCTGTGAGTGAGATCCCAGTGGAAAGAACGGGGCAATCAAAGAAGGGGGTACCTTTCTCTGAAGGGAGGAGAGAACTTCCACTTTGACTATGACCCTGTCGGAATAAGATCGAAGTCGGCGAACTCAAAAGGCTTCCATAGCCTTGGCAACTCATGACTGGAGCCTAGGGAGATTACTGACGCCATAAACAAGAGTGTTAAATTGTTAAGTCAACAATAGGAGTCACTGTGTACTTACTTCTCATGTGGGATCTGTCCTTAATGTGTTGTCCAATGTGAAGTAATGCTATAACTAGTACTGAAACAGTATTTTATACTCCGTGTTTCTGTGTGGGTGCAAACTGATGAAATCTTTACTTAATATATACTAAATCAATCTTCTGTATATAAAGATAATTGAAAATGAAACTTGATGTGAATGGAATGGGAGAGGGAGCAGAAGATGAGAGGGGTGCAAGTGGGAGGGAAATTATGGGGGGGGGGGAGCCATTGTAGTCCATAAACTGTACTTTGGAAATTTGTATTTACCAAATAAAAAAAAAAGAAAAAGAAAAAAACATTAAAACGTAGCAGGAAAAAGTTCTAATTACAGCAAAAACTACTATACTTCTACATGGGTTAAAAAGACTTGTTAAGGGGCCAGTGCTGTGGCATAGCAGGTGAAACCACCGCTTGTATTGTCAGCATCCCAAATGGAAAGCAGGTTCAAGATCTGGCTGCTCCAATTCAGATCCAGCTGTCTGCTTATGACCTGGGAAAGCAGTTAAAGGTGGCCCAAGTCCTTGTCCCCTGCACCCACATGGGAGACCCAGAGCAAGCTCCTGGCTCCTGGCTTTGGATTGGCCCAGCAGATAGAAGATCTCTCTCTTATTGCCTCTGCCTCTCTGTAACACTGCCTTTCAAATAAGTAAATAAATCTTTATATTAAAAAAGGCTTGTTAAAAGATATAAACTATCAGATTAGATTTAAAAGCAAGAGCAAAATATAACAATATGCTAGCAATAAAATACTTAAAAACAAAAGGTTAAAATAAAAAGAAAATACACCAGGAAAATATGAACCTAAAAAAGAGCTGGGTTAAGTGTCTGCTAATAATAATTGATAGAGGGCCAGCACCATGGCTCACTTGGTTAATCCCTGCGGCACCGGCATCCCATATGGGCTCTGGGTTCTAGTCCTGGTTGCTCCTCTTCCAGTCCAGCTCTCTGCTGTGGCCCAGGAGGGCAGTGGAGGATGGCCCAAGTGCTTGGGCCCCTGCAGCCGCATGGGAGACCAGGAGGAAGCACCTGGCTCCTGGCTTCAGATCAGCGTAGTTCCAGCCATAGCGGCTACTTGGGGGGTGAACCAACAGAAGGAAGACCTTTCTCTCTGTCTCTCTCTCTCTCTAACTCTGTCAAATAAATAATAATAATAATAATTAATAGAATTAAAAAGGAGAGAATGACCCAACATGGGAAGCAGGATATACAGCAGACTCGTAGAATGGCCGATGTCCTAAACAGCACTCTGGCCTCAGAATCAGCCTTTAAGGCATTCAGATCTGGCTAAAATGCCCACGAGAGTTTCTCAGACATGGAAAGCCAAGACAGTGTGGAAAAAAAAATGGCCTAAATGAAAGATCTCTACAAGTGAGAACCCAGCAGAAAGAATGGGCCATCAAAGAAGGAGGTACCTTTCTCTGAATGGAGGAGAGAACTTCTACTTTTACTATGGCCTTGTCTAAATAAGGTTGGAGTTTGTGAACTTAAGAGGCTTCCATAGCCTTGGCAGCTCAGGACAAGAGCCTCAGGTGATCGCTGACGTCATAAATAAGAGTGTCAATTGTTAAATCAACACCAGGAGTAACTGTGCACTTACTCCCCATATAGGATCTCTGTCCTTAACGTGTTTACTATGTGAATTAACGGTATAACTAGTACTCAAACAGTACTTTATACTTTATGTGTCTGTGTGGGTCAATCTGTTGAAATCTTTACTTAGTATATACTAAGTAGATCTGTATATAAAGATAATTAAAAATGAATCTTAATGAAGAATGGGATGGGAGAGAGAGTAAGAAATGGGATGGTTTGTGGGTGGGAGGGTGGTTATGGGGGGAAAACCACTATAATCTTTTGAAATTTATGTTTATTAAATAAAAGTTTTCTAAAAAAATAAAGCTGGGTTAGCAACCTTAGTATATCTGAAAAATTTACTGTTTACACATATACACACATACACATATATACATGTGTGTGCATAAATATATGTATAAATAGATTATATTGTATAATATGTAAATAGCATGCATGCCAAATAGGGGTGTGTGTATATATGTGTATGTACACATGTTTATGTACACACACAAACATACACAGAGGGATGAAAAAATAGAATATATTTATCAAGATATTTAGAAAGCCATAAGGTAAAAAATATTATTATTTTTCATAAATTCAAACGTAATATCTATAGACTTTTAGGAATAATGTGAACTTAAGAAAAGAAATGATCAATTTATTTTAAAAAAGTTTTCTTTTAAAAAAAGACTGAGAAATTAACACCTCAGAAAGAAAAGTATGTATGGTTGAGCTGATTTTGTTTTTACATGGTAAAATTAATTTGCTTGAATGAATTGTACACTTCCTTCAGTTAAATAACTAATTTCTCAGTCTTTTAATGGACATAGAGTATACAATCTAAATCATAACCGATAATGGCACACAATAATATATCAAGAATATATAAGTAAGGGGTGGAAATTTGGCCTAGCAGTTAAGACATCAGTTAAACTGCCTATATCCCGTATCAGAGTACCTGGGTTTGAGTTCTGGCTCCGCTCCTGATTCTAGCTTCCTGCTAATGCACACTCTGGGAGATAGCATCGATAGCTCAGTGGCTGGGACCTTGCCACCCCTGTAGGAGACCTGTATCGAGTCCCCAGCTCCCAGCTTCATTGTAGGCATTCAGGGAGTCAACCAGCAGACAGGAGCTCCTTGTGTGTCTGTCTGTCTCTAACTCTCTTCCCCATCACTCCATGTATGCCTACCCCTCAGACAAATAATTTTAAAAGAATGTATAAAGATAAAATGACTAATTAATATGGAATTAGTTTATGTAATGGTGGATTTCTGCATACTTGTTTGTACATTTTTTGCATATTTACATGCTTTCACTCCCTTAACATACTGCAAATTCCTAATTCAATGGGAACTATAATTATTTACAACCATATTTAACGAAAATAGAAAGCCCTTCAAAATTACCTAAAGCTCTCTTATCTGATGTTATCCAGAACTGTGTAAGTCAATTTCCCAGTACTTTCTTTAGTGTCTTAAAATAAAATATAGCATGAAAATGAAGGGACATGAAGTGGCATTTCTTTATATTGTTGCATAAATTCAGGCATACAATGTGATGTTTTGATATATGTATGTATTGTGGAAAAATTAAATCTACCTGATTACATCATTATCACCTTATATTTATTTTTTCTGGTAGGAACATTTAAAATCTACACTATCAGAAATTTTTCTATGTAGAATACATTGTTAGTAATCACATGCTACACAACAGATCTCCAGAATTTCCTCCTCCTCCTGACTTTGGATGGAATTTCTCATGGAAGACAGCAAAGACAGTCACCCACTGAAGCTCTCCAGCATAAGCCCTGGAAGAGGAAGCTCACTGATTATGACGTACACATGCAGAGACACCGGTAAAATCTTCTTTAAATATTTCAGGTGATACAATAAAGTTTCTTTCTTTCTCTCTCTTAACATGCATTTCTGGAATTTTTTAAAAAAAATAAGTTTAACTCACATTTTCCACTGACATATCATTTGAGGCATTCATCAGATTCACACTTTTATCAACAGCTGTGATGCCAATTATGGAGTCAGGCTGTGTCACAGAGACCTTAAGAGACACTTTCTCAGATGGTTTAGCACTAGCTTTACTCCAAAACAGCTTTATCTAAGAAACAGATAAAGAAGGGTTTTTGGTTTTACTTTTTAAAAGTATTATATATGCATCTTACCAGCAGCAAATCAATGACTTAAAATCTAACTAAGATTCCTCATCTGCCTTGGCTCTGGGATATTTCTCAACCCTTCTCTAGGAAAAAGAAATTACAAACTTTACTCCTGACACGTTTGTGAATGAAAGACTTCACACAGTGGTATAAACCCAAAGGAGCCCTCACTTCTCCACCTTTGCTCTTCCCTTTCTCCATCTCCCACCCCCAGCCTCTGGCCAGGGCTGAACAGCAGTATCTAGAACACTGGGAGGAAGCCAGTATCCATGAGGAGGAACGTGAAAGAGGAAAGAAACTGCAGGTGCCTACGTGTTGATCAAGACTGCATGCAAGGAGAGCTCCCAGAGCATTCTCAGAACTACCTGGGCTGGGAAGTGAGAGGGGCTCTTTCCAAGGTAGGGGGTGGGCAGTCCAAACCCCAGGCCAGCCCCAGGGACCTGTGTCTCCACGGCTGTCTGAACTTCCTCTGTCACCACACTCTTCACAGCACGGTCCCACTTCCGGAGTAACATCAATCATCTCATCACAGCCTTGTCAGGAGGCCCCTTCCTGCTGAGAATTTCCATTTCTGTAGCTCCATCTCAGCATTCCCCTGCGCCAGTGACAGCACTGCATGGCCAGGATGGCCTTACTGTTCCCCTCGGACAGGCGTCTTCCTGACCACAGCCTCTGACCTCCCTTTCCTCAGCAAACTTGTCACTGTAAATTCTTTCTCTGCCCCGTTTGGGGTGAAAATCTTCTCAGTCTCTAGAGTTTTAGAACCCAGGGATGGCTTTCTCAGGGACATGGAAGCCTGGTTCTGTAGGTAATGAACAAGACTGACAAGGGTCCCAAGTGGATTTCCCAGCCTCCGTGGAAGAGTGGGAGTCTAATGTCACCAGCTCAGTACCAACTGGCAAACACAGAGAGCCTGATCCGCCTGCTGCGAGCCTGGCCAACCCTCCCACCAGGGCCTGTGGTACTTTGACATTTACTCACCCCACAGCTGCAAAACTCGCTGCCTTTTGAGTCAGCAGGGTTGAATTCAATCTATCTCCTCTCACATACGCTTAAATGAATCTTCCTTGCCTGTTTAACTCATCCAGTGCACTTTTCCTCTCCAGCAACTGAATCTAGTTTACTTTCTCTGTCTACATCCTAAAGGGGGAACGGGAGTGGATGGGGATGCAGCACGTTCAAGACTCAGTCTTGGACCTTGTATTTCTCACTCTAGACTGTGTGCCTCAGAGACCACATGGCCTTAACACGCACTTCTAGGTGGATGATTCCTAAACCTACTCCTCTTATCCCTTCTACTTCTCATTCATGCATTCCATAGTCATTACTGAACATCAACAAAGGTTTACTCGTTTTCTCTTGTTTAAACATATCCTATGCATACATTTCCATGTATGCAGCTTCTTTCCATATGTGATAATTATTAGCATGTAAATATTAGAGAAAGGTATACCCTTGCAAATGGAACTGAAGCTTCCTATCTCTTACAAGAGGGTATTTTAAAAAGGAAAATTAAAAGATATGTTTAGGCAAAAGTATTTGGCTTAGCAGTTAGGCTGTGTTCAAAACTCTGCTCTGGCTCCTAACTCCAGCTTGCCCCTAATATATACCCTGGGAGCATTGATTGCATAAGTATTTGGGTTCCTGCTGTCCATATGGGAGTCCTGGATTGAGTTCTGGGCTTCTAGCTTCAGGGCCTCCCCACTAAAATCACTAAAAGTAAAAACTGTACTCTAAAACTAACAAAATACAGTATTATATTTTCAAAAACTCTTTTTAAAAAGGCAAAAAAATAGAAGTTCATATTAAAAGTTAGGGTTAACGATTCTCAACCAAAGAAAGCAACGGATGACTACTGCTACTTCTCAAAATTCTAACAAGTTAAGTAAAAAAAATATATATTAGGAAAAATAGACTCTACAAATCAATACTTCAAAACAATGACTATTTTAGTTAATAGGACCCAAGAAGGCAGCAGTTTTTAGTGAGAATAAAGGCTCATTCTGATACATGTGAGATGGTTCCATCAGATTTCTTTTCAGGGTAGGCATTCAAGGGGATTTCCTATAAAGGCTGGCTGTGTGAGGCTACACCAAGCACTTCAGAATTAGTGACCAGACTCTACACAGAGCCTCACACACAAGACAACCAAGCTAATGGAAAATTTGTCCTGGGTGGGGCCAGCGCAGTGGTATAGTGGGTAAAGCCCCCAACTGCAGTGCCATATGGGCACCAGTTCGAGTCCCGACTGCTATACTTCTGATCCAGCTCTCTGCTATGGCTTGGGAAAGCAGTAGTAGATGGTCCACATCCTTGGGCCCCTGCTCCCGCATGGGAGACCAGGAAGAAGCTTCCGGCTCCTTGCTTCAGATAGGCCCAGCTCCAGCCATTGTGGCCATTTGGGGAGTGGACCAGTGGATGGAAGAGTCTCTCTCTCTCTCTCTCTCTCTGCCTCTCTGTAGTTCTGCCTTTCAAATAAATAAATAAATATTTTTTTAAAATTGTCCTGGGTTATTTTTCAGCTGATGGAACACAGTAAAGCCCAGCTCTGCTTCTACTTGTCATTTCAGACAGCCTCAATCCCCCCATACCCTTAATTCCACCCTTACACCAGTGTTAATACCACACAGATTCTGTACTGCCCAGGAAAATCCCGAGTCAACCATTTGAAAAATCCTCAGAGGGCTTCATGGCTTACATTGAAGTCTTACAGTCCAAAGCCATATCTTACAAATAAAACCCACAGTGCCCAATAATTCCATACGCAAAAAATACACATGTGGTAACTAAATATGAAGAGGTTTAATCATAGTTCTAGAAGTGGGTAATATAAATTTCTAAACTCTTTGACTTAATGATACTATTCTAAAGGAATATTGCATTTCTCAGATTTCACAAATAGGAATACTTCTTTTAAACATCATTACCTTAGATCTTACCTCATTTTTAAAAACAAGTTGAACAGGAATTTTGAGAACATCATTTATAATTTCCCCATCATCTTTAATATAATACACAATTATACAAGCTTTTGGAGCCCAAGAACTTTCTGGTGTTAAAGAGAAGATTGTTGAATTTTGTTTGCCTACAGCCACTAACTGTCCCCTGGATACTACCTGAAAACAAAAGAAGATTAGTTTAATTTTTTTTTTTTTTTGTTAAATCTAGTAAGATCTCAACTGAAGCTACATTTAGCAATTTAAGCACACAAAAAATTCTTGACTTAAATTAGCTTCAAGGCCTTTTTAAATTCAAGAAAACCTCCCTGACAAACATGGAATATAAACTAGGAATAGGAAATGATAAGATTAAAACATTACTGATGAGAACAACAGTAGTCTCACAGTCAAGAATCCATTTTTGATTGGAAGAAATATAGGGCAACATTGGGAGAGTTGGATTATAAAGCCGTGGGTAACAACTTTTATTTTCTTATATTGTATAATCTTCTACAATAAATGCAAGTTGTTTATCCAATAAAAATTTATCCACTTTAAATTGAAATGCAAATATAGGAAAAGAAAGAAAAAAGATTGATTGCAACATACAAAGGACAGGCTAGGATAGGCAGGGGCAGCCATCTGACCTGTATCAGACAGCCTGGGTTTGATACATACCTCTAGTTCCTGACAACAGCTTCCTACTAATACAGACCTCAGGAGGTAGTGATGATAGCCCAAGTAATTGGGTTCCCACCACCCACACAGGAGATCTGGATTGCTGAATTGAGTTCCTGGTTCCCATCTTTGGTCTTAGTACAGCTTTGGCCATCTGGGGCATTTAGGGAGTGAATCAGTAGATCAAACACTCTTTCTCCTTCTCTCTCTCTCTCTCAAATACATTTTCTTTAAAGACAGGGTTAAAAAGGTATGAGGCTGAATTTTAGAAATTAGTAAGTTTGGGGGGGGGGCACTGTAGCTTAGCGGATAAAACCGCCACCTGCAGTGCCGGCATCCCATATGGGCACCAGTTTGAGACCCGGCTGCTCCACTTCCTATCCAGCTCTCTGTTATGGCCTGGGAAAG